ATAAATCCTTTCTCAAACGCCATATGGCTTTATCGATTCGGCAGATCTCGAGGAAATTGTAAAAATCGCCAACTTTGCGGGACTCGTCGCTATTGACGATGATCGCCACCGTCGAACCAATAAGAAAGAAACGTTTCTGCAATCGACTGGTAATAAGCCACAGGTGCGAATAGAACTGCAGGCGCACGGCAAATAGTAGTTTGCGCTACATGATGATACTAATTTCATCGATTCCGTGAAATCAGGGTTGTGCTACACTAATACACTATCTCTTCCGCTTGCACGAATTTTTTTCGACTCGAGTTCGTGCGCGGTTTAACTTTGTAATTCACGACGAATCAATTCGATACGCCACTTGCAGATGATTTCTGCATACTCGCACGGTGGTTTCTTCAAAGGATTTTTCTCTCCATCTTCGGAATACTCAAATATGCCCCGATGAAATTATTCGTGCGGTTTTTAGATATTTTAAAATAAAATAAAAAATTTGATAATGCGCGAAGTCGACCGTCATTTATTATAATAATCGCGTAACAGGAAAGCCATTACGGTCGTCTGAATCTTGGCGTCTGATATTTTCGCGTATACATCGTTTTTCTTTACAGATTATTTTCTAAAGAATGCTTAATTGGCAGCATTAAAAAAAATTTGATATTTTAATTTTAATCCAAAATATTCTCCATTATATATCATTTACAACTTCCTCTCAACTTAATCTTGAATTTTCAATTCTCTGGGGACAAAAGTCTTTCGGCTTTGAGCTGAAGAATAAATCAAACTCCCTTTTATACCGCACGATTCATGGGATGATCCAATAATAATAGATACATTATGGGAAAATTATTTTAAGATTATGATTTTGATAAGAAAAAAACGGATGTAATAATTTACACAAGGGGAGAGACTTAATAAAATATCCCTCCATAAATATCATCGGAATCGTTAAACTAACAGAGCCTTTGTACGGAACCCATCGCGAAACCTCGCAGCATCCGAGGTACTCGCGGTGCCTTTTGTCCCCGGACCTTTCACCTCTTCAATCTCTTTTCGCGTCCTTTGTAGTGGCTCGCGCCGATGCGCCATCATCGCGTCATCCTCGAATCAAACACATGTCTCCGTTCCGGGATGCACGATGATCTTCAAGCTCGTTAATCGCGCGACGAGCGACGCGTTTCGCCAGCTGTCGCGCGCATTGACTCTTGACTCGTGACTTTCTCGGTGCCGCGCGCAATTTGTATTACGCACGATCGGAGAATTCCGCGTGCGGAAGAGATGCAGCGCGGGGCGAGGAAGGAGGAGCGGGGTAAAAGCGTCGACTCCTTTTTTTTCCAAATATATTTTTAGCACGCGGGATTGCAGTGCGTCGAGAGAGCGCACGCGCTCTGCCGGGTTTGCGTTCGCGGAAGTAACGGAACGAATCGAAGAAGAGCTTATTAGCATGGTCTCGAGTAAACCGCCATTTCTGCGCTCCGTAATTGTTACGTCCTGTTCGTTACGGATCACTATGCCGATGTCGATCAAATAGGCCGTCAAAAGCGTCGCTTAGGACTTAGCCTCGATACTCGACTGCTTTCTTGAGCGATTCATTATGTCTCGTGTGGAAGCCGGACCCTTTAAGATTGTAGAGAATGTCGTAATTTTCTGAGGTTCGTTAAGTAAAGTATCTATCTCGAGGATGGATACGCGGAGTGCGCCTCCGGGAGATAGAAGAAAAATCGAGGCTAATTGGGAGCTCCATTTAATAGCTGTATCGAAATATTATTTTTTCACTATGCGCTGGGAATATTAAATTGCAACAGCGCGTGCCATTTATAACCAATACATTTATTTTTTATTATTTTATTATATATTTTATATAAAACGAGCAATGGCGCGCGCGAAGCGCGCGCTTTGTATTGTTCTAGTTATGTAAAAAATCTGCAATTGCAACTTGAATGTTGTTTCAATCGCTGAAATAACTTCAAGATAATCGAACTGACAGCTGCCATTAAACGATACTTCAATCGTTAAAGGCTTTCTGTATTTCCTAGTCTGTAACTGTCTCGATTGCCTCACGGGATCGTGAATCTATAACCAAACCTCAGCTAAAACTAAATAAAGAAAATTGTTGCAGCGCGCACTAACTACTTTTTATCTTTTCAAGAACTAAGTAATTGATTGTCGGGCTGTAAAATAAAATGTACCGCAGTCGATTCCGCGAACACGTGGAGCCGTCTTGATGGCCGCGCGCGCGACACAATGAGTGCGTTCCGGCGAGACAATGCTACCGTATCGCTACAGCTTTTTTGCTACAATTGTAGTGGCGCCATACTTACATTAGCGTGTATAACCTCAAAATTGTATTTTAATTGCAAGAGTCGCGTTTACCAATTAATTGAAACGAATAGAATGGAAAATATTGAAGACTGGCTCATGAATGACATATTGTTTCTAGCAATCCTTGAGCAATTATAAAAAATGGCAA